TAGGGTTTCAGACCTGTCAATTCTCAAATCAAATCACATTTTATTTGTCACATGTGCCGAATACAACAGGTGTAGATCTTACAGTGAAATGCTTACTTACAAGCCCTTAACCAACAATGCAGTTTTAAGAAAAATAAGTGTCAAGTAAAAAATAGATGAATAAAAAATAATTAAAGAGCAGCAGTAAAATAACAGTAGCGAGACTATATATACAGTGGGTACCGGTACCGAGTCAATGTGCGGGGGCACAGGTTAGTCGAGGTAATTGAGGTAAGATGTACATGTAGGTAGAGTTAGTGACGATGCATAGATAATAAACAGAGAGTAGCAGCAGCGTAAAAGAGGGGAAGGGGGGCGGGGGGGACAATGCAAATAGTCTGGGTAGCCATTTGATTAGCTGTTCAGGAGTCTTATGGCTTGGGGGTAGAAGCTGTTAAGAAGCCTTTTGGACCTATACTTGGCGCTCGGGTACCACTTGCCGTGCGGTAGCAGAGAGAACAGTCTATGACTAGGGTGGCTGGAGTCTTTGACAATTTTTAGGGCCTTCCTCTGACACCGCCTGGTATAGAGGTCCTGGATGACAGGAAGCTTGGCCCCAGTGATGTACTGGGCCGTACGCACTACCCTCTGTAGTGCCTTGCGGTCGGAGGCCGAACAGTTGCCATACCAGGCAGTGATGCAACCAGTCAGGATGCTCTCGATGGTGCAGCTGTATAACTTTTTGAGGATCTGAGGACATGTACCAAATCTTTTCAGTCTCCTTATGGGGAATAGGTTTTGTCGTGACCTCTTCACGACTGTCTTGGTGTGTTTGGACCATGATAGTTTGTTGGTGATGGGGACACCAAGGAATTTGAAGCTCTCAACCTGCTCCACTACAGCCCTGTCGACGAGAATGGGGGCGTGCTCGGTCCTCTTTTTCCTGTAGTCCACAATCATCTCCTTTTGTCTTGATCACGTTGAGGGAGAGGTTGTTATTCTGGCACCACATGGCCAGGTCTCTGACCTCCTCCCTATAGGCTGTCTCATCGTTGTCGGTGATCAGGCCTACCACTGTTGTATCGTCAGCAAACTTAATGATGGTGTTGGAGTAGGGCCGTGCAGTCATGGGTGAACAGGGAGTACAGGAGGGGATTGAGCACGCACCCCTGTGGGGCCTCCGTGTTGAGGAAAAGCGTGGCAGATGTGTTGTTACCTACCCTTACCACCTGGGGGCGGCCCGTCAGGAAGTCCAGGATCCAGTTGCAGAGGGAGGTGTTTAGTCCCAGGGTCCTTAGCTTAATGATGAGCTTTGAGGGCACTATGGTGTTGAACGCTGAGCTGTAGTCAATGAATAGCATACTCACGTATGTGTGCCTTTTGTCCAGGTGGGAAAGGGCAGTGTGGAGTGCAATAGAGATTGCATCATCTGTAGATCTTTTGGGGCGGTATGCAAATTGGAGTGGGCATAGAAGTAATTTAGCTCGTCTGGTAGGCTTGTGTCACTGGGCAGCTCTTATTATTGGGGGTGGGACTTGCTTCCATTCAGGTCCGGACTCTGTGCAGGCCAGTCAAGTTCTTCTACACTGATCTCAACAAATAATTTCTTTATGGACCTAGCTTTGTGCATGGGGGCATTTTCATGCTGAAACGGGAAAAGGCCTTCCCCAAAGTTGGAAGCACAGAATCATCTAGAATGTCATTGTATGCTGTAGCGTTAAGATTTTCCTTCATTAGAATTAAGGGGCCTAGCCCGAACCATGAAAACAGCCCCAGACCATTATTCCTCCTCCACCAAACTTTACAGTTGGCACTATGCATTGGGGCAGGTAGCGTTCTCCTGGCATCCGCCAAACACAGATTTGTCCGTTGGACTGCCAAATGGTGAAGCGTGATTCATCACTCCAGAGAACGCGTTTCCACTGCTCCAGAGTCCAATGGCGGCAAGCTTTACACCCCACCAGCCGACTCTTGGCATTGCGCATGGTGATCTTGTGTGTGTGGCCGCTCGGCCATGAAACTCATTTCATGAAGCTCCCGACGAACAGTTATTGTGCTGACTTTGCTTCCAGAGTCTGTTTGGAACTCGGTAGTGAGTGTTGCAACCGAGGACAACGTACTACGCGCTTCAGCACTCAGCGGTCCCGTTCTGTGAGCTTGTGGGGCCTGGAGGCGAAAGAAACGCATACCGGTTTAGGTGAGGTGCTGGCTAGCGGAGTAGAACACTTGAAAAAGAAAAGGAGAGCCGCACACTCTAGGAACTCTAATGCAATAATTTTATAACCAGCGCTTCAACAGCCAAGCTTGTGTGGCCTACCACTTTGCGGCTGAGCCGTTGTTGCTCCTAGACGTTTCCACTTCACAATAACAGCACTTACAGTTGACTGGGGTAGATCTAGCAGGACAGAAATCTGACGAACTGACTTGTTGGAAAGGTGGCATCCTATGACAGTGCCACGGTGAAAGTCACTGAGCTTTTCAGTAAGGCCATTCTACTGCCAATGTTTGTCTATGGCGATTGCATGGCGTTGTGCTCAATTTTATACACCTGTCAGCAACGGGGGTGGCTGAAATAGCCAATTCTACTAATTTGAAGGGTGTCCACATGCTTTTGTGTATATATAGTGTAAATATTATGGTAAAAGCTACGAAATTGTTGTGTTCTGGTCATAAATATGGATTCCCCCTGTTAAACAGTGTAGAATTGTAGGAAAAATTTATAAAAATATTCGGAAGTCCCCCAGATCCCCCACCCCCCACCGCCCTCTCAAGCTTTTGCACCCACACTTTCAGTCAAACTCAAGCACCCAGGCATGGAACCATGGATGGAACAAGTTGGCATGTTATGAAATAGGAGTATGGGTTTTTCACACACAGCAGCATAATCTTGGTGTCAAATAACAAGCAGTTCTGCTGCCACCACCAAAAGTAACAAAAGCAAACGAGTGTCAAGGTTGCAACTAGGTCTTTAAAATATTATGAAAAACAATTCAACAACATCAAAAAGGGCTTCAAAATTTCATAAAAAGGCATTCTTCCATTATAATACATTATTTCTCAATTACTATTCCAGATACTTACAGTGCCTTCAGAAAGTTCACACCCCTTGTCTTTTTCAAAATGTTGTTGTGTTACAGTCTGAATTTACAATTGATTAAATTGAGATGTTGTGTCACTGGCCTACACACAATACCCCATAATGTCAAAGTGGAATTATGTTTTTAGACATTTTTACAAATTAATTCAAAATGAAAAGCTGAAATGTCTTGAGTCAATAAGTATTTAACCACTTTTTGTTATGGCAAGCCTAAATAAGTTCAGGAGCAAAAATGTGCTTAATAAGTTGGGTGGACTCACTCTGTGTGCAATAATAGTGTTTAACATTAGTTTTGAATGACTACCTCATCTCTGTACCCCACACATACAGATAATTGTAAGTTCCCTCAGTCGAGCTGTGAATTTCAAACACAGATTTAACCACAAAGACGAGGGAGGTTTTCCAATGCCTCACAATGAAGGTCACCTATTGGTAGATGGGTAAAAAAAAAGCAGACATTGAATATACCGTTGAGCATGGTGAAGTTATTAATTACACTTTGGATGGTGTATCAATACACCCAGTCACTATAAAGATACAGGCGTCCTTGCTAACTCAGTTGCTGGAGATGAAGGAAACCGCTCAGGGATTTCACCCTGAGGCCAATGGTGACTTTAAAACAGTTGCAGAGTTCAATGGCTGTGATAGGAGAAAACTGAGGACGGATTAACAACATTGTAGTTACTCAACAATTCTAACCTAAATGACATAGTGAAAAGAAGGAACCCTGTACAGAAAACAAATATTCCAAAACATCCTGTTTGCAATAAGGAATGTGGCAAAAAAATTAACTTCATGTCCTGAATACAAAGCATTATGTTTGGGGCAAATCCAACACAACACATCACTGAGTACCACTCTTCATATTTTCAAGCATGGTGGTGGCTGCATCATGTTATGGGTATGCTTGTCATCGGCAAGGACTACAGAGTTTGTTTTTTTTAGGATAAAAATAAACGGAATAGAGCTAAGCACAGGCCAAATCCTAGAGGAAAACCTTGTTTAGTCTGCTTTCCACCAGACACTGGGAGATGAATTCACCTATCAGCAGGACAATTACCTAAAACACAAGGCCAAATATTCACTGGAGTTGCTTACCAAGACGACATTGAATGTTCCTGAGTGGCCTAGTTACAGTTTTGACTTAAATCGGCTTGAAAATCTATGCCATGACTTGAAAATGGCTGTCTAGCAATGATCAACAACCAACTTGACAGAGCTTGAAGAATTTAAAAAAGAATAATGTGCAAATATTGTACAATCCAGGTGTGCAAAGCTCTTAGAGACTCAGAAAGACTCACAGCAGTAATTGCTGCCAAAGGTGATTCTAACATGTATTGACTCAGGGGTGTGAATACTTATGTAAATTAGATATTTCTCTATTTCATTTTCAATAAATGTGCAGAAATGTCAAAAGTGTTTTCACTTTGTCATTATGGGGTATTGTCTGTAGATGGTAGATGAAAAACATATATTTAATCCATTTGAATTCTGGCTGTAACACAACAACATTTTGAATAAGTTAAGGGGTATGAATACTTTCTGAAGGCACTGTATGTGTCTCAAAAAGATAATTTCTGAGTTTCTTTGTGGTAAAGTTCAGGAAAATACTCAATTTCATGAATGTAGTTGTTCCATTTTCATACAGTGGCCCAACCCATAAATTGATATTGTTAACAATTAAACCATCAGCCCAGGAAATCACGATTCCTTCCTGCTTAATAGGTCATCCTGGGGAATTTAGCCGTGTTTCTTCTCCCCAGCTAAACTCCATTGAGAGGGGAGTGGCCCACTGTGTATTTTCCTGTCATCATAACCTAACCCGGAACAGAAAAACTCCTAACAAAATGCATTTACACATAAAAAAATAGGCCTTACATTTGGATATTTTTCCTTATTTCAGACCATAAACCATGAGCTATCCAGGATACCCCACTCAAGCTGGTGGCTACCCCCCACAAGCCGGTGGCTATCCCCCTCAGCCGGGCGCCTACCCACCCCAGGCAGGAGGTTACCCACCCCAGGCAGGAGGTTACCCACCCCAGGCAGGAGGTTACCCACCCCAGGCAGGCGGCTATCCCCCTCAAGCAGGTGGTTACCCCCCACAGGCTGGTGGTTACCTCCCTCAGCCTGGAGCTGGAGGGTACCCAGCCATGCCCCCAGCAGGTAAGGCCTCAGGACAACAGATCATTATATGTCTAATATATGCACATACAGCATGTTTTATAGGTGTTATACATGATATGTAATATAATCTTAAGGCAGACAGACAGACAGAGACACGTATACAGAGACAGATAGATGGAGGGACTGAAACATTAAGAGATGGTCAGGTAAAGAGGATAGGCTACTGATGGACAGACTCAGAGACTGTGTCCTCTTGTCTCAGGCCCAGAGATCATCATGAGGTTTAGATTTAATGTTGTGCTGCAAGCGTTGTGTTCTCTAAACAACCTCCGCTGTGCTGAGAGACAACACTCACAGACTAACTAGTGACTGACACAGGCCTCCCATTATGTGTGCCCTGAGTATCACTCTGCTGACTAGAATTGGCAAGTGTAAACAGTTCATTGCTAGTCCTGGTGTCTCATTCCAAAGCCAATTTAATACTGACCAATTTCCTTACCTCTCTGCCCTAGCAGAATCACCAGATATTTGTTAAAACTTCTCTAGTATGAAGTTTAAGCACTTTCTATGTTCTATTGAAAACTGAACAATTATCCTCTGGTTTCTGGTAACAGCTGATTGAAGGATTTATTGATTTATTAATAAATTGTTTGATTGGTTGACTCCAATCATATACAACCACAACATCAAAGCAAAACAGTACATACTGTTGTAAAACAGTAGTAATAGTACATAGCAATTTGTCAGTGATTTGCCATAAACAGTTTAGTGACATGCCCATTTATGTCATCTGTTGCAGGTAGTTGGGCAGGTGGTGCTGGTTTCCCCACCATAGATAATCTGTCCATCCCTGGATTCAACGCAGGCAATCTCCCAGCCATGGTAAATCTGGCATGAAAATACACATGGAGAATATTCACAACATATGCCTTGAATTCATCCCTATCAGATGCTTGCATTACATATTTCAGTTAACATGAATTGCACGGCCAATATTGGAAATCCCAACCCAATTATTGACCGGTAAGAGTTTTTACCCAGGTCATCATCTTTTTCTCATATCTATCTATGTTGCAGCTTTCTTGTTAACCTTCCTTACAAGTCTCTGTTGCATGACGAAAAGAATGTAGCTCATGTTTATTAGCTCAGATAGTGCTTCAAAAACATAGTCATTTGCTTCAACCTTCTCTTTCACTGTCGTAATCCTTCAAAACTCCATGTTTTGTATCATTTCTTTGTTGCATTGTCTTTTATTGTCTCTATAATCAAAAAACAAAAGCAGATGATTAATCGACATCTATAAAACATAATTGATCATCTACAAAACAGCTTTGCTTGCATATTAATTGAAACCAATCAGCTTCCTGCCTGTGCACATTTTATTGGATGCCCATTTCTCCTGCTCCAATCACATGCCAACCAGATCTCAGCAGCCATGTTCACCCCTGGTGGATACCGCCACCCTGCCCCCCAGCCCCCTAACCAACAGCCTTGTGGCCTGTACCCCCAGCCAGGAGGGCAGATGCCCCAGCCTCAAGGCCCAGGCATGGGCTACCCACAGGCACCCTCACCCAACCCCTCCATGCCTGGTTACGGAGGAGGACCAGCGCCTAACCAGCCCATGCCAGGGTACCCTCAAGCCCCATCACCCAACCCGTCCATGCCAGGATATGGAGGTGGAGCCATGCCCGTCTCTCCTGCCATTAATGTAAGAGACACTGGGAAGATTTAACCCTATTGTGACAATAGTCCTTCAAAATACAATTTAGGACAGGTAGACATCTGGTTAAGTGTCCATACTTTATCCATGGGTTTAAACTTGAAAACCTGAGTGTTCTGCACTAATATTGATCGTGCTTCTATAGTTTTCTTACTCTTCTTGAGATGTCAATGATTAGAGATTTTGCCAGGAGTTTTACTGGCAAATATCACTGACAGGGTAAAGCAATCTGGTAACATTTCGGAAAAATTCCCTTTTCTTTCAGAGAGGATTCCGGGGAACCATCAAGGATTATCCAGGAGCAGACCCACTGAGAGATGTGGAGGTTCTGAGGAAAGCCATGAAGGGCTTTGGTGAGTTGGTTACATAGGCCCAGTCCAGAAACAGCCCCTAGCCCCTTATACTGGTGTCTAGTGAGTGACTTAGACCCTGTCCAGAAACAACCCCTAGCCCCTTATACTGGTGTCTAGTGAGTGACTTAGACCCTGTCCAGAAACAACCCCTAGCCCCTTATACTGGAGTCTAGTGAGTGACTTAGACCCTGTCCAGAAACAACCCCTAGCCCCTTATACTGGAGTCTAGTGAGTGACTTAGACCCTGTCCAGAAACAACCCCTAGCCCCTTATACTGGTGTCTAGTGAGTGACTTAGACCCTGTCCAGAAACAACCCCTAGCCCCTTATACTGTAGTCTAGTGAGTGACTTAGACCCTGTCCAGAAACAACCCCTAGCCCCTTATACTGTAGTCTGGTGAGTGACTTAGACCCTGTCCAGAAACAACCCCTAGCCCCTTATACTGGAGTCTAGTGAGTGACTTAGACCCTGTCCAGAAACAGCCCCTAGACTTTTATACATGGGTCCAGTGATTGAATTAGTGTAGTGGGCAGCAATATTTGACAGTGTATATGATATTATAAGTACCTCACATGTGACTTGTAATAAGACTAAGCAATTAGCCTACTAAAATGGTTATCTGACTCATAAAGATAATTAGCAATATGCAAAAGACTACAGTTGAACCATGTGCAATCGAGTATTATGTGTTTACCTGACTAAGATCAAGGAATGGTCATGAGAAGCGAATATCAAAGCAAGTATTATTTCATAACTTTGTAAAATGAATGGGTTGACATACAAGGCATAAAGCTTAAGTTACAAGGCAATACTGACATTAACAAAGCATTATTCTAGGCATATAGATTCTAAGGTTAACTTACAACGCCAAGCATGGACAAAGAGATGCTTACTAGCCAGAGGCCTAGAAGCCTATGAAATTAGAATTGATCATACAACCTTCCTCCATGGACTGGATACAGGATAAGAGACTGAACAAAGGCATTTAATTCCATTTATAACAGGTGTAAACTTTCAACCCAAATCCAACCACCTTTGACCAATCAAATGATACCAAGTTTACAGTGTAACCTGACCACCAAGGCCCGATCTCCACAGGGTGTCACAGCATTGAAATGCTTCTGTGGGGGATGAGACCAGTGTAAATATGACAGAATTCCTGAGAGGACCATAAAACCTTTTTGCATATAGTAATTCAGAATTCACCCTATACAGATACACGTAACCACAGAGATCATACATGCATATAGTTAGCATCAGAGTTATCCTCAGTGATCAAGTTTCAGATAAATACCAGACATGGATACTATAGTATTATTCTATCACATTCAATAGTCAGTCTTCTGAATACTGTAACAGAGAGAAACATTTTGGCCCTTCAGAGGTGGAAGGGCTGACTAGTCCTTTGGCATTGTCTTCTGTCTTCCAACTCCAGGTGTCAGAGAGCACATAAATTAGGGCCTAGCCTACATTAGGCCCTATCTAATCTTGGAACCAGAAACAAATATTACATGTGTAATGGCCAGATGTCACGAGAGAATAGGTCCTGTCCAGAAACAACCCATTGCCAGTCCCTTATGCAATACACACTTGTGTAGATCTGAAAGGATTGGATAGGTATAATCAACACTAGCAATTACGTTGTCTTCTATCATTGATCCTTCGATCTTTGAATGACTTAATTATGTATGAAGACCTGGTAATGTTATTTGCTGAGCTATGCTAGTAAAAATAAATTATAAACCCACCAAGGGAAATGGGCTATTTTGAATGTGTGTTCTGACAGTCAACTTGTCCTACAGGTACTGATGAACAGGCCATCATAGACCTGCTAGGGAGTCGCTCCAACATACAGCGTGTTCCCCTGCTCATGGCCTTCAAAACCTCCTACGGAAAGGTAATACAGTCATAATGACATTATACTACATTGGTACAATATTCTGAACATTTTCTTATAGCTTATTTCTTATCATAGAAAGACAATAGTGACCATGACTATAAATGTTTCAAATCATTTAATTTCTTATTATGGGAAAGTATTTGGAAGGAGTAGGCTCGACTCTTGGTTACTTAAAAAAAACGTGGTACTTTATTTATCTAAGTTGAGTTATTATGGAACAATTAAAATAATGAGTGTTACAGCATCATAAAATGGTCTGAATATGTGCCCTGAAGTGAGGGTCAGACTGCATTCTCTAGTGTGTGCCAGTAATCTCTAAACAGCAGCTGTTGGTTCTGCTAGTAAACGACGTAGCTGGGGGATTTGATTCCCTCAGACCCCATTATAGCAGTACCCGGAACACATATGGCACAGCAGTTGAACACAGATAGCATTAGTGCTTGAAGTGGACTGAAGTAGGTACCACCACTCATTTTGGGTGCCGGTACTCTTTGTGTACATTTGCCGCTACTCATCATATTTCAGAGCCAATATTCTAAAAGAGGTGCCAGTACTCAAGCAGTACAGAAAATGACGGTGTCGATATTCAAGTCATAGAACAGTGAAGGTGTTTCTTCTCTGTACTGCTGAGCTCCGGCCCACCTCAAGAACTGCTTGGATAGCATTGAATCATACCAAGCTTGTATCCCCCTACCTTCCTAGGATCTGGTTAAGGATCTGAAGTCAGAGCTGTCAGGGAACTTTGAGAAGCTGGTTCTGGCCATGTTGAAGACCCCAGCCCAGCTTGATGCATACGAACTCAAAGAGGCCATTAAGGTTTGTGAAAGGGTTTTCATAATCACTGACATGGATATTCCCTCTTAGCGTGTGTGTGTTTGCGTTCGTGCATGCATGCAACAAGTGGAATGTTTTAGTTTTGTGGTTGACACAACTAGCTAAACTAGTTTAAGGAACAGAGAAAAACAAACCAAATCATATTTGGTAAATAATATTAATGTTGTAAACCTACCAACTGTTCTCGACTGTATGTTCTGACAGGGTGCAGGGACAGATGAGGCTTGTCTGGTAGAGATCCTGTCCTCTCGCTCCAACGCAGAGATCAGAGAGATCAACATGGTCTTCAAGACAGGTAAGTTCCTCAGGCAGACAGGCAGACAGGCAGACAGGCACTACATGGAGAATAGGAGTAGTGTACTGCACTGTACTGTGTAAGAAAGCTGTGTGTGTTATTTCAGAGAATAAGAAGTCACTGGAAGATGCCATCAGTGGGGACACCTCAGGACACTTCCGTAGACTCCTCATCTCTTTGGCCCAGGTACAGCCTATGGCCCATAGATATAGAATAATGTATACATTATAAATACATACTGTATATACATAGGAATACATACAGTACATATAGATGTATGATTAATTATGTGCAGGGCCAGCTCTAGCCTTTTGGGGGCCCAAAGCGAGATTTAGTTGCCCCCCCCCCCCTGAAATTCTACTCATTTTGCCATGGGGCAGAGATACTTTGTGCAGTTTTATAACAAATGTTATACAATTCTACTAATTTTGTCATGGGGCAGAGAGACATTTTTGAAGTTTTAAAGCTAATTCCCTGCAATTCTACACATTTTGCCATGACTTAGGCCATGTTGATGATATCTGAGTGAGAGTGACTAACAAAATCAATGGGGGCCCCCTGGAGGCCAGGGCCCTGCGCGCCCGGTCGGTATTCGGCCATGATTACTACAAGGTTTACATAACTGGCTAGACTAATTTACTAATCTAAGAATTGTTAGCTGACATGGTTCATTGAGTGACTGTCAGTGACTGACAAAACAATAGAAAAACTGCTGATGCACAACCAAATTTCTAACTTGCACGTTGTGTATTCTACTATTCTAACCCTCAACAGTAAGTTGAGACCCCGAGTTCCAGTCGGGATCCCTAAGCGATCGCTTATGTCACTTATGCCTGGAGCCAGCCCTGTTTATGTGTTGTGTTTGTGCTCTCAGGGTAATCGAGATGAAAGAGAGACTGTGGACATTTCTGTAGCCAAACAAGATGCCCAGGTAAATGACCATTTATCTATAATGAACCTTGTGACGTCTAATCCACATACTGTATTGTGTCTTCAACATACTTAGGGACAGGTGTTTTTCATGACCATTTGAGCAGGAAAAAATCTGGACACGACACAGCATACTTTAAATCTCTACCATCTCATTGAAAGACGCCTGTGTGTATTGTGTGCCCTCTGTCCAGGCCCTGTATGCTGCTGGGGAGAACAAGGTGGGAACAGATGAGTCCAAGTTCAATGCCATCCTGTGTGCCAGGAGCAAACCCCACCTCAGAGCAGGTAACTACAGGGGAGAGGAATGGTACTGTGACAACAGAAGTAAAATATCAATTAAATGTACACTCAGTGGCCAGTTTATTAGGTACCCGTTCATGAAAATGGTTTGTTCCTACAGACATTGAGTAACGTGGCCGTGGCTTGCTATATAAAGCAGGCAGACAGGCATCAAAGCATTCAGTTACTGTTTGATTGAACGTTAGAATGGGCAAAACAAGTGACCTAAGCGACTGAGCGTAGTATGTTCGTCGGTGCAAGGCGCACCAGTTCCAGTACCTCAGAAACGGCCGGCCTCCTGGGCTTTTCACGCACGACAGTGTCTAGGGTTTACAGAGAATGGTGGGACAAACAAAAACATCCAGTCAGCGGTAGTTCTGTGGGCGAAAACAGCTTGTTGATGAGAGAGGTTGAAGGAGAATGGCAAGAATTGTGCAAGCTAACAGACGGGCCACAAACAGCCAAATAACGGCACAGTACAACAGTGGTGTGCAGAACGGCATCTCAGAACGCACTCGTCAATCCTTGTCACGGATGGGCTATTGCAGCGACCACACCGGGTTCCTATCAACTAAAAACAAGAAGAAGCGGCTCCAGTGGGCACGCGATCATCAACACTGGACAATTGAGGAATGAAAAAATATTGCCTGGTCTGACAAATCCTGGTTCCTGTTGCATCATGCTGATGGCAGAGTCAGGATTTGGCGTAAGCAGCATGAGTCCATGGACCCATCTTGCCTGGTGTCAACGGTACAGGCTGGTGGTGTAATGGTGTGGGGAATTTTTTCCTGGCACACGTTAGGTCCCTTGAAACCAATTGAGCAACGTTTGAACGCCACACCTTGTAGAATCCATTCCCCCTTCAGAATTCAGGCTGTTCTGGAGGCAAAGGGGGGGGTCTGACCCGGTACTAGATGGCCACTGTGTATATGAAATATCAGTCCTCTGGTGCGCTCCGCTCATCTTGATTTGTAGCTTTTGCCGCTACCTTATCCGTGTATGTGTGTGCGTGTGTGCGTGTGCGTGCATACATGTAGTGTTCCATGAGTACCAGCAGATGTGTGGCAGAGACCTAGAGAAGAGCATCGACAGAGAAATGTCTGGAGACCTGGAGAGTGGAATGGTGGCTGTGGGTAAGAGGACACCTTTCGGTTAACACACACACATGCACTCTCACACCCATGCAGGTCTATCCAGAGTCACACCTACACGTCTCTATGCAGACACATACTAACACTCTGTCACACCCATAACAACACACACACACAGAGAGCGAGAAATCCAGATGTATGTATAAGGGATTACCCCAAAAAAACTTGTACAATGGTTCCACCCAATTACTGAATGGGGTTTCACCGTTTTGACGTAACAGTAGTGGGGAATTTCTTTCTAAGCCAAATGTGTTGAATGTCTTAACACCCATAGCTTACTCATTCTTATTGTTAAAAGGTGTTATAGAAGATGCTATAACAATATGTGAGTTGTCACACTCTGTTGCTGTCTGAATGAGTAATTGTTGTTGTGTTTTCCTTCACTTGGCTATCATTGCTCAGGTTAATGGTACAGTAACTTGCTTTTAGATTCATTTGACTGAATGACATCATTGTTGTTATCTGACTATGTATCAAGAGATACTCACTCTCCATACACACTTCATAGTGATGATGTGTTGTTTGCTTGTTCCATTATGCATGATGTTTGTCCGTACAGAAGTCATGTTGATGTGATGTTTGAAAATGAATTTCACCCCTCTGACTGTATTTATCAAACTACATTCATATATTTTCATATATGCTGAGTATACAAAACATTATGAACTCTTTCCATGATATAGACTGACCAGGTGAAAGCTGTGATTGATGTCACCTGTTAAATCCACCTCAATCAATGTTGATGAAGGGGAGGATACAGGTTAAAGAAGGATTTTTAAGCCTTGAGACAATTGAGACATGGATTGTGTATGTGTGCCATTCAGAGGGTGAATACCCAAGACAAAATATTTTAGTGCCTTTGAACGGGGTATGGTAGTAGGTGCCAGGCACACAGGTTTGTGTCAAGAACTGCAACACTGCTGGGTTTTTCACACTCAACAGTTTCTGGTGTGTATCAAGAATGATCCACCACCCAAAGGACATCCAACCAACTTGACACAACTGTTGGAAGCATTGGAGTCAACATGTGGAACGCTTTCGACACCTTGTAGAGTCCATGCCCCGAAGAAATTGAGGCTGTTCTGAGGGCAAAAGGGTTTTGTACACTCAGAGTATTTTCAAGGTCCGGTTTCAGATATGACTTTATGTACAATATTTTCAGTTTATCCCTTCATGTCATTTTAAACTGTTAGTTTTGTTTGTTTTTGAGAGTTTCCTTCAACACACGATATCAGTCACCTTGTCTCAAGTCTGTTTGTGCTCTTGCCAACTCCATTACTTAAATTTCCAAGCTAAACATTTGGCATGACAATGACTGACTAGAAGTTGGCATTGTAGCACAAACAGACTGGGCCATGTTATCAGTCCCTCCCTCTGAAGTAGGCGGGTGCTAGTCTAAGGTTCAGTAGGGTGATTAGTACATGCTGGGCATTCTAACCTTCTGCTCTCTCCATGTTCCAGTCAAGTGTATTAAGAACACACCCGCCTACTTCGCTGAGAGACTTTACAAGGCCATGAAGGTAAGACGCCCCGTTTATGTCTGTCTGTCTGGACTGATTACAAAATACTGTACATACAGAACAGAACAACAAAACTGTCCACGACTGATAAGTGCACACTGATAAGTGTTATTACAGTAATTGCTTCTGATAACTGTACTCTTCAAATCAGTGCTAAGGTCCAGCCTGACCTGTGTGTGTGTGTGTGTGTGTGTGTGTGTGTGTGTGTGTTTTTTCTCAGGGGGCCGGGACCAAGGACAAAACCCTGATTCGGATCATGGTGACCCGTTCTGAGGTGGACATGCTGGATATCCGTCAGGAATACGTCAAGACATACGGCAAGTCGCTCTACACAGACATCTCTGTAAGTATCTCTCCTCATCACTACACACATACACACACACCTACACACACCAATACATCAATAATGCTACTGCTATAGAGAAGGTTGGGCATTCTAGTATGATGTTCTGGACTAGTTTGTTGATGTGTTTGTGTTGTTGTTGTTGTCTATGACAGGGAGACACCTCAGGGGACTATAAGAAACTGCTGTTAAAGCTGTGTGGAGGGAGCGACTAGAGGACCCATGTCAGCTCTCTTTACAGGATCTCCCCCACGCCATCTATCTATCTATTAAGCTAATCTATGCATGCACCACAATCAGCAATAATGCATGCCAGGCTATCCATTTTCTTCAAAGCAACTTTTATCACATGTTATGATATGAGAACCTATCATAAAAGCTGCTCCTTTTCTATATTTTTTATGAGCAAGAAAGTATATATTTTTCCATAAGTGTAACATCTGTGCTGGATATTATAACTTAGTCTGGCTAAAAGTGCCCTTAAATGTGCAACTTTGATTAGATTAGAATTGGAATTTAAATCAATATGTATTTTATAAAACGTTTTTATTTAACAAACCTGTGCCAATATTATACATATCTAATTGTACAAGTTAACTCAGTAGTAATTGGTTTAGTTGAGCAATGTTAAATAAATTACTCTGAAGTCTCTGAAGTCAGAATACTTAGCAGCTAAAATACCAAAGTGGTCCTTTTTATATTTGTGTTTATATGGTGTGTGTGTGTACACTATCATTGTTTGTTTTTTTACTCTTTTTTTTTCACTACACTCACTCATGCTGTCTGCTTTTTGCTACAATCTCTTTGAGCATATCTGTCAATCTAACTTTTAACTTAAATCTCATTGCATCACATTTCAGTAACGGTGCTCTGATGAATATTACATCTGAAAATAAATGTTGAGAAACACGGCTGTTGTTTCCCCTAATGATGATTTCATCCATGCTAATGTTGGGTTGCATCATACTGTGTTTTAGTCTTGAGGCAAGGAAGAGCACTATTTCCTGTTTCTGCTACTATCATGACCCCTGACATTTTCAAACAATGGCTGATGTTCTTGGCCTGTTATTCGTGGAGTCAGTGAGCAAAGGAGAAACCATGCCAGTTGCAATAACCTTTATTTGAAAGCAGTCATAGCAATATGATTTTGTAGACAGGTCGTATGGGTGTCAGTGTGCTCGTGTGAGACAGAGAGAGATAGAGAGAGACAAAGGCATACTCAGTCAGCCATCACATAATTCATCCATAGGCTGTACCTGAGTATTTTGTTAATGAGGGTTCTATCCACTGGGCTGGGGTCTGGTCCTGTAGACTTTACCTCTGACTATCTTCCACATGATAAATTATTCTCCTGTCCAGGGATGACTCACCCCACACATTTGAAGGGACATTACAACATTTTTTAAATTCATGATCTCCAGCAGCACCCCAACATCAACATATTTGAAAAAGGCATGTTCCTCTCTTTTTGTAGTCAAAAAGATCGACAAGGAGATGTGTTTACGATTCCTTCATCTGGTGTACGTCACGTGATTTTATTAACCAACTATGAGTAGGCAAAAGTAGCCAAAGGCGATAGATTAAAATCACATGATACACACCGGATGTCATCGGAAACACGGCCCTTTTCACATAAGTTGTGGTGGTGCTTTAGATGATAAATATGAAGTAAAAAAAATACTGAGATTTCCCTTACACCCTTTTCTTCACACTGGTCTATAAACCCTGCTCCAATACAGAAGACACTGGGACTGGAGTTCAGGCATAATCAAGAGGCCAATAGTCAATACATGTAATCAATGTTAATTTGGTGCATATATGATTAGAATCATGTTTATGAGATACAATATCCCTCAATTCCTCTACCTGCCATGCATGTTATTTTCATTCTGGCCCCTAGATGGCAATAATGCCTTGTTGTAGCTCAGTACAGTTCACAGACTGCTCACTGAGAGACCATGGTTGTATTAGCGGTTGATAAAAAGCCAATATGTGTAACTACATTGTACGTACACTTTATCTTCCTATATACACTAACTACCATGTAAATACATAGGTATTAGGGACACAGCAGGTCACATGAGCATTGTTTTGGGATTATTTTTTTGTCCCTGTAGCTGGAAAAGAACATCAGACATCTGTTCATAACTAATCCTTTCTATTTTTACAGACTGATCTTTTCTTCTGCAATCAGAATTTGCGTGTGAGTGCAGCATTATTTCTAAAACCATTTACTGAGAAACAGATTTTCAGCATTTTTTAGAAACATACAGGGAAATCTGGTGATATATTTAGATTGAGTAGCCAGGGTCTTAGTTGAATATATTCAGCACTGTGGCATATCTGTAGAAGTGTGCCTTCAATGAAGGCTAACATGACCTTCCATACACAGACACCATCAGCCCAGCAACAATCCATACATGAAGGCCAGGTCATGCATTCTAGAACTTCTTACAAATCCACAGAGTTCTTAGAATCTTCCATTTAATTTGAATGCCAGGGCATTCTAGCGATTCTCTGAATTCTTAAAACCTAAGATGTAACTGATGGCCATGATACAGAAGTTATTCATAGCATTAGGGAATAGAAGACACTCATATGCTCAGACACGTTCCTCACCGTTGGAGTGCCTCAGAAGTAGAGGATGTGAAGTGAATGGAAATAGTAGCCAACCTCTATTCAACCCTTATTGTAGTGTTGCAAGTAATAAGGTCACAAAATAAAGGGATAAGTTGTGTTGGAAGTGCAACAAAAGACATATTGCTGAGCAAAAATGTATTTTAGACCATCTCTGAATGTCAAGAATGCTGTAGGTGGGTGTAGTGGTGGAATCAAGCGCAGGACACCGAAGTATAGTCCAAAAGACTTTAGTTCAAATTCCAACAAGGAAAAATACGAACTAAACTTGCCCGAAGGCGAAACTACGCACGAAGGCGACACAAACAAAAAGAGCACTAAACATGTGCGTAAATGCTCCAACACAGTGGAGTGAAGCTCAACCGAGCGAAAGCAAAACAAGCACAACACACGACAGAAATAATCACACACAAACACAGACACACCCAACGAGACTTAAATAGAACACTAATGAGGACTAACTAGACACAGGTGTACAACATCAAGACCAAACCAAACGAACATGAAACATAGATCGGTGGCAGCTAGTACTCCGGGGACGACGACCGCCGATGCCTGCCCGAACCAGGAGGAGGAGCAGCCTCGGCCGAAACCGTGACAGTACCCCCCCCTTGACGCGCGGCTCCAGCCGTGCGCCGACCCCGGCCTCGGGGACGACCAGGAGGACGCGGAGCAGGGCGCGCGGGATGGTCCCGGTGGAACTCCGACAGGAGAGATGGGTCTAGGATGTCCCTCCGCGGCACCCAGCACCGCTCCTCCGGGCCGTACCCCTCCCACTCCACGAGATACTGGAGACCCCCCATCCGGCGTCTGGAGTCCAAGATGGACCGAACGGTGTACGCCGGAGCCCCCTCGATGTCCAATGGGGGCGGAGGAGTCTCTCCTATCTCATTTTCCTGGAGTGGACCAGCTACCACCGGCCTGAGAAGAGACACATGGAACGAGGGGTTAATATTCTTATATTCAACAGGTAGATGTAACTTATAACACACCTCGTTCAATCTTCTCAGGACTTTAAAGGGCCCCACAAACCGCCGACCCAGCTTCCGGCAGGGCAGGCGGAGGGGTAGGTTTCTGGTAAAGAGCCAGACTCGATCTCCGGGTGCGTACACCGGCCCCTCACTGCGGTGGAGATCGGCGCTCGCCTTGTGACGACGGACGGCCCGCTGCAGGTGGACGTGGGCAGCGTTCCACGTCTCTTCCGAGCGCCTCATCCAATCATCCACCGCAGGGGCCTCGATCTGGCTCTGCTGCCACGGTGCCAGAACCGGCTGGTAACCTAATACACATTGGAAAGGGGTTAGGTTGGTAGAGGAGTGGCGGAGAGAATTCTGGGCTATCTCGGCCCAGGGAATGTAACGCGCCCACTCCTCAGGCCGGTCCTGGCAATACGACCTCAGAAACCTACCCACATCCTGGTTAACACATTCTACCTGCCCGTTACTCTCCGGGTGGTACCCCGAAGTAAGGCTAACCGAGACCCCCACACGCTCCATAAACGCTCTCCACACCCGGGAGGTAAACTGGGGGCCTCGATCAGACACTATATCCTCGGGGACCCCGTAATGCCGGAAGACGTGGGTAAATAGGGCCTCAGCAGTCTGTAGGGGAGTAGGAAGACCCGACATAGGGAGAAGACGACAGGCCTTGGAAAACCGATCCACAACGACCAAAATGGTGGTATTCCCCTGGGAGGGGGGAAGGTCGGTCACAAAATCCACCGAGAGGTGGGACCATGGTCGTTGCGGAACGGGCAGGGGATGTAACTTTCCCCTGGGCAGGTGTCTAGGCGCCTTACACTGGGCGCACACAGAGCAGGAGGAGACATAAACTCTCACATCCCTAGCTAACGTTGGCCACCAGTATTTCCCGCTAAGGCAGTGCACTGTCCGGCCAATACCTGGATGTCCAGAGGAGGGTGATGTATGAGCCCAATAAATAAGTCGGTCACGAACCTCGAGCGGAACGTACGTCCGCCCCACAGGACACTCGGGGGGAGTAGGGTCGGCACGTAACGCCCTTTCGATCTCCGTATCGACCTCCCACACTACCGGAGCCACCAGACAAGACTCCGGCAGTATGGGAGTAGGCTCAATGGACCTCCCCTCTGTGTCATACCGCCGGGACAGGGCGTCTGCCTTACCGTTCTGGGACCCTGGGATGTACGTGATCTTAAAAACAAACCGGGTTAGGAACATGTTCCACCTAGCCTGACGAGGGTTTAGTCTCCTAGCTGCCCGGATGTACTCCAGGTTACGGTGGTCAGTCAGAATGAGGAAAGGGTGTTGAGCCCCCTCAAGCCAACCCCTCGTCCTTCTTCTTCACAAAGAAGAAACTCGAGGAAACCGGGGAAGTGGAGGACCGCATGTATCCCTGTTCCAAGGACTCGGCTATGTAAGTCTCCATAGCCGCGGTCTCCTCTTGAGACAGGGGATACACACGGCTCCGCGGAAGTGCCGCTCCTGTTTGGAGATTTATCGCACAATCCCCCTGTCTATGAGGTGGCAACCGTGTTGCCCTAGTCTTGCTGAAAACCAGTGCTAAATCCTCATATTCAGGGGGAATGTGCATTGCGGACACCTGGTTTGGACTCTCCCCCGATGTTGCCCCTATGGAAACACCTAGACATCTCCCTACACACTGGGCAGACCATTCCATAAGAGCCCTCTGTTGCCACGCAATGGTAGGATCATGGGTGCTTAACCAGGGAAGCCCCAGCACCACGGGATACGCAGGAGAGTCGATCAGATAAAACTGAATGATCTCCTCATGACCCCCCTGCGTAATCATCTTCAGTGGCGCTGTGACTTCTCTAATCAACCCCGACCCCAGCGGCCGGCTGTCTAGAGCATGAACTGGGAAAGGGGGTTCCACCGGCCGAAGGGGAATTCCTACCCTGGAACAAAATACACGATCAATAAATTTCCCAGCTGCGCCTGAATCTACTAGCGCCTTATGCTGGGAATGAGGTGCCACCTGTGGAAATCTCACAGGTATACACAGGTGTCCAACAGAGAGCTCTGGGTAAGTGGGGCATCTACTCACCTGAAATGGCTCCCCAGTGCGTGACCTGTTGTCCCCTGTCCCAG